TGAAGACCACGAATATTATACCTACCTTTGGAACCAGGAGCACTAATATCTTTACTAATGTATCCGCAATGAACGCGCTCGTGGTCTTCTGTCAAGTGCCACGTCATTTCTCTCGAAACAGCCAAATTCCTCAATTGCAGAAGGGAATACTGTCGAGGAAATGGAGGAAGGAATAGAAAAGCACATTCATACTCATTCAACCAAATTTCAGGGCCACGGCAGAGATTGTCTGGATCTTCTATCGAATCACCAAACAGATAATCAAGTTTCTTTAACGGTTCGGTAGAATCCCGAGTTGAAGTCAAAGGAGAATCAGTCAACAGAGCGCGTAGGGTACGACGACCTCCCTCACGAACCAACTCTGGAACACTATTATCACGATCTTCACTAAATTGGCAAGCCTCTCTAACCAGAAAGTCGTTGTTGAAAGAAGCGTGAAGAGTACCACTCTGACCCGTGTCTTCTCTCTCAGAGAAGGCCACAGAGGGAAAGGGGACTACAAAGAAAAGTTGGAAAACAGTTGTGTAAAAGAGGCTAAACAGAACAAAACCTCGCTCTAAGTGACCGCGGCACCATTCACTGTCGTTAGTTACCGCGGCAGGGTATGTTGCCGCGTTCAGCCGCGGCAGCACGTACTGCCGCGGTAACTAAACAGCGGCCCCTTGATTTCGACAAGACACGAGTTCGACAAAAACTCGCATCTTGACTGTGGTATATGTCTTGATTGAACAAGATATATGTTTTTAAAGCGTCAATCCTCTCGATGGAGGATGTCAACTCTTCCCGAATGCCTCTCAAAGGAGGCAAACGAGGTTATATATGCAAAAACAGCAGTTTTGAAAGAGGGGAAATGTTGAAAACTCACCTCCGAATGAAGGGACAGCAGCCTCTGCCTCCTCCGACGCCTGGGTTGCAGACTTTCCCTTCGAAGCACGGGTTTTCTTTGGCGACATGGTGAAATCAACCTAGGATCAAAGAAAATTGGGGTTTAGAGATGAGATCTCGAATTAAATAGCAAAATAAACATGAAATACAAGGGATAGGCTCGGTTCTTACCAGGGGAGAATAGAATCAAGTTTGATCAAGGGAAAAGATCAAAATCAAAGAGAACTCAAAACCCTAGATCTTAAAACCCTAGGTTTTGTTCGAGCAAACGCAAAGATGAAGAGGTGGAAAGGGGAAAAGCCAGAAAAATCCTTTTATAGGGTTTTGGAAGAGGTTTCGAACTCAGAAGAGCGGGGAAAAATGACCCGAAGAAGCCCAAACCAGTTTTATAACCTGACTGAATGAAGCGCTGCGCGACACTCGACACTGTCGCGCTAGAGCGCGACAGTCTATGTTGCCGCGCTCAAGCGCGACAGTATAAGCTGCCGCGGCCGTTCATACGCCATAGTCCATTCTGTCGTGCAGGAACACTGTGTATACACAGTAATTTCTTCGGTGTTTGAACACATACATCTCCCTCTGTATTTGGAATACATTCTCGGACACTCCGATGAGTATATGAGTATAAACTGCATCTCCTTGAACCTCCCAACGGGTATATGAGGTTAAACTGTTTCCCGAACACTCCAATAGAGCATATGAGCATAAACTATTTCTCCATTTTTCAACAACAGTTCTGATTCAAGACTTCGACAACGGCCACGCGATAAACGCAGTACCGGAGAAATTTTAGCTATTCTACAAAGCACTGAGTAGACTAAAAAATAAAGAAGTCAAGGATTGAAGCCGTTCACAAATCATTTTACGCAACTTCTTCAATAAAGCACTGGAGAAATTGCAAGGAAAGCTTATCATATCCAAAGTGTCCCAGACTCCTCTCAAAAAATGATGAGTCTGAGATACTTTGGAGGGGGTATCTGTAGGCGTCAAAAAATGCTTACAGACATTCAAACACCACTCAAGATGACATAGGAGAATATACACGTCATCAAACAACACATGGCGGCGCGACAAGACATAGTGCCGCGGCTAAGGCGCGGCAGACCAAGATGCCACGGCTAAGGCGCGGCAGATCAAAGTGCCGCGGCTAAGGCGCGGCAGATCAAAGTGCCGCGGCTAAGGCGCGGCAGATCAAAGTGCCGCGGCTAAGGCGCGGCAGATCAAAGTGCCGCGGCTAAGGCGCGGCAGCCTAGCCTATACTGCCGCGCCAATAGCCGCGGCAGTATAGACTGCAGCGGCCAAAGAGAAAGCATTCGGGCAGTTATTTTGCCCCTGTTTCAACTGTGGTGCACTGAGACCCCTATAAATACCTCCCTAAACACGAAGCAAAGGACAGAGAGCATTTTTGGAGCAGAAGAGACTTGAGTCTTTGGTGATTTTTGAGAAAGAAAGAGAGAATTTTCACCCTTTGACAATCATCATTTGGTGAATCCTAGAGATCTAAGCTCAGACTTGATCTTTGGAAGAACGAACATCTTACATCGACACCAGCATCAAGACGCACCGCGTTCATAGCCACGAACGCAGCTCAAACGCAGCTTCCAAATCGCTGCAAACGCAACCCAAACGCAGCTCTAATCGCTGACAGACGCAGCTCAAATCGCTGCCAAATGCAGCTCAAATCGCCGCCAAACGCAGCTCAAATCGCCGCCAGACGCAGCTTCCAAATCGCTGCAAACGCTGTAATTCTTTGTAAACGATCGAAGTTTTAATGGAATCTGCAATGGAAACAACTTTCGCTGAAAACACTTGCGTCTTTGGTTGTACGTGTTTTGTTCATGATTTGACTGCTGGTTTGGATAAATTGTCTCCTAGGTCAATTAAGTGTGTGTTTGTTGGATACTCACGTACTCAAAAAGGGTATAGGTGCTATCATCCGTCCACTAGGAGATATTTTGTGTCTGCTGATGTTATCTTTTTTGAGTCTATCCCATATTTTCCCTCTGGTTCCACTACTGCTATCTGTCCACAGGTATCACTACATTCTTATGCTCCTACTACTCTTCTGTTATCTGCTCATGTGGCTCCCGCACTGAAACCTCTACTGACATACTCTCGTCGTCCTAAAGTACATGCACCTGTCTCTGCTCCTGCCGACTCTTCATCTCCAGCTGCAGGTCCATCTCATGTTGAGACTTCTATCTCTTCTGACTTGGATCTTCCTATTACTCTTCGAAAAGGTAAACAGTCTTGCCCGAAATATCCTATCTCTCTTTTTGTCTCTTATGACCGTCTCACCCCATCTTTTCGTCAGTTTGCTTTGTCCTTGTCCATTGTATCTATACCCAGATCACATGAGGAAGCTATATATGTTAGTACCAGCCTGGAAGCAGGCTATGGATGAGGAGATGGATGCATTGCTTTCTAGAGAGACTTGGGATTTGGTCTCTTTTCCTACTGGAGCGACTGTGGTTAGTTGCAAATAGGTGTATACCTTAAAATATCGCCTCAATGGGTCTGTTGACCACTATAAAGCTCGCATGGTTGCTAAAGATTATACCCAGACATATGACATTGACTACTTTGAGACCTTTTCTCCTGTTGCACGTCTCAACTCCATCGGAATCCTTTTCTCTCTGGCTATTAATATGGATTGGGCGATGCACCAACTAGATGTGAAGAATACTTTCCTTTATGGTGATTTGGACGAGGAGGTTTATATGGAGAAACCTTCTGGATATATTGCTCAGGGGAAGAATATTATCTGCAGGCTAAGGAAGACCATTTATGGGTTGAAACAGAGCCCTCGAGCTTGGTTTGATAAGTTCATCAATGTTATTTCTAATGTTGGTTTCCAACGCTGCCATTCTAATCACTCTGTCTTTCTTCGATGCACAATAACTGGTTTGGTTATTTTAGCCGTATATGTTGATGATATTCTGCTGACTGTGAGTGGCTCTGTTGCCTTAACAGAGACTAAGGAGTATCTAAACCGTTATATTGTCACTAAGGACATGGGAAAGCCCAAGTATCTTGGGATTAAAGTTGCATATCAAAAGCATGGCATGTTGTTATCCTAAAGGAAGTATGTGCTAGATTTACTAGAAGAAGCAGGTCTCTTGGGATGCAAACCTACAAGCACGTACTCCAATGGAGACAAATGTTGATTTGTGGCTTGATGATACCTCTCTACTAGATGAGCTGGACGATATAGGAGACTGATTGGGAAGCAAATCTATTTGACAGTTACCAGACCTGATATTACCTTTGCAATAGGTGTACTTAGTTGCAGGTTTATGCACAAACCTAGAGAGGTTCATTGGACAGCTACTCTGAAGATTTTGGCATATGTCAAGAGTTGTCCTCGTAAGGGATTTCTATATAAGAAGCATGAGCATACTCACATTTCTACTTTCTCTGATGCTGGCTATGCAGAAGATATGGGAGACTGAAAGTCAACCTCAGGATTCTGTACTTTTGTTGGAGGTAATCTAGTGACTTGGAGAAGCAAGAAATAAGATGTAGTATCACGATCTAGTGCAGAGGCCGAATATAGAGCAATGGCTCATATTGCTTGTGAGATGGTGTGCCTACGAAAGTTTATGACAGAACTTGGTTTTGTTCAGCCTGGACCCATGCCTATGCATTGTGACAACCAGTCTGCCATTTACATTGCAAAGAATCATGTGTTTCATGAGAGGACAAAACATATTAAAGTTGACTTTAATTTTGTCAGAGATGCTTGAGAGAAGATAGTGTCTCTCATATTCACTCCATCCTCACAACAACTTGCTGATATTCTTACCAATGCTACTTCTTCAAAGGTGTTCTCTACTATATGTGACAAGTTGGGCATGGTGGATATCTATGCTCCAACTTGAGGGGGAGTGTTAGATTAAGTCTATTGGGTATTGGGTTAATGGGCTGTAACACGTTAACCATACCCCTATATATATATATATATATAACTATCTGAATAAACTATATATTTAACTATCTGAATAAACTAAGTAATTAGGGTTTTGCTCTCTATTATCTCTTTCCAGACACAATAAGTCTAAACAACATAATTTGTAAAGAACAAAAAATGGTTGATTTTTTTGAAGCTACTGCATGTATAACTTCAGTTATAGTCTAGAGAACAAAATTAGGGGCTTACTACAAATATTTGATGCACAAATGGCGATTACAATAATATGGAGGATCATTTCACAAAACACATACAATGTGAGAGGTGTATAGGTTAAGTAACCTAAAGCATAAGCATAGATCTTAGGTTAAAATGTTGTAAAGTATGGGTATCTAATGCAAGATAACCCTTTATATATACATAGGGGGTTGGTAGAATGTCTTCTGGTGCCCAAATTAATCTGTAGAACTTTCAAGAAGAGCATGATAAAGGAACCGATCTTTCCCTCGCCAACCCATCATCTCTCTCTTCTCCCTTTGCTTTCAATCTGTATCTGACCCTTTTCCTCTTCTGGGCTTATTGAGTGAAGATGAGAGTGGCAGCTGAGGCCTGGAGGGATGCTGAAAAGGGAAGATGGGCTTGATGGGCCTTCTGTGCCCATGATCAAGATGCGGGTTGCGCATGGATCTTCTCAGCATGAGCTCTCTGTCCCTGCCCAATCCACCTTTGGTAAAAAAAAATTAATCAAATTTCTTTCCTAATTCTTTGTGGGTATTAACTTATTTTACTTGTATACTTTTTGATTATGTGGTTTCCCTTGGCTGTTTCTTTTCATATCTATATGCTTTTTGCATGTTTGATTAATGCTGGGTTATGTTCATCTCTGATGCTTGTTTATATGTGGATGCTTATGACATAAGTTGCTATGCCTAGTTTTTATATTGAAAATTGGGTAGCGGGTATCTTCTTCTAATTTTGTGCTTGTTTGTAACATTTGATGGTTGATGTCTTTTTGTTGCAGTTTGGCTGATTCATTTTACTTGGCTATTTCTTCTACAAATTTTGTATTTTGGTATTTGACCATATTAGATGATTTTACTACTTCGAATTGTTTGTTATCTTTGTCTTGATGTTGACTATTGCTGCCTTGTTTGTTTGCAATCTTTTAGATATCGTCTAACAATGAGTATGGTTATGATGCCAGTTTGTGTTTAGAGGCTAGAACGGAAACAAGAACGATAATGGCGAAGCTTATATCGATCACCAAGTTTTGGGATTAGCTATTTGAACCCATTTCTTCCATTTAGCTCTTTTAAGATATCACCTTGGTTAAATTACAAACTGCTATTTTCTTTTTTAATTGCTTCCATCACCTGTAAGCATGCTTTTGGTTCTCCTAGATCAGTTAATTACAGCCCAATTACTCTTCGTAGTAGCCAAGCTTATTTAGTTCCTTTAGTCGCGTCAAAGAATGTCGGTTGATTCATTTTTTTCATCAATGGGAGATCTTATGGATGCATTCGTTTTCTATTCTATTGCTAATCATATTTCTACTCTCATTCTTTGCAAGATTCTCAGACTTCTCATTTCTGTGACACTCTTCTTTTTTATTTTTATTTTTATTTCGTAATTGCCTGACATTTAGAATCTTAGATCCATAAAGCATTGCTGTTCTTACAGTCATTTTATGAAATCATCCTTTAATATCAGGTGTTCTCAGAGTTCTCAGAATGTCCATGACCATATGATACTCCAGGACCTTTTCGTCACTCTAGCCTCTCCTCTTTGATTAAATTGAAGAGTAAATGAAATAGTACACTATCATAACCGTTCTGGGTATTTCTTTGCGATTGATCTGTACACTCTTGTCACTGCTAAAAGTAAATTTTCCTGTATTCTGCTTTTATCCTGCAGTCTAAATGCTCCACACTGAAAACTTATCGCCACCTTTCTACTTTAGAAATTACCTTTTTGAGCCTCACAAACAATACAATATCATTGGCAAATATGCACCTTATGAATTTTTCTTGGATTTGCCTAGCAAAGTTATAAGAATTTGATGCCAATTTTTGGTGTGAGCCTTCTTGAGATAGTGACTGTCTGTATATCATTTAGAAGAGATATATTTGGCAAGTTTGCATCTTAAATTTGTTTGGCCCCTAAGTCTTGTGTATTTGGGCTAACAATATATCAATTGCTATATCTGACTAAAACATATAAGAATCATTATCAGCTACCAGCTGTGTACTTGTATCGTATTGCCTTATTGCCTCATGCATGTTTGGACACAAAATATGTTTTCCTTCTTTTGAAAAAATTGTGTGTATTAATTAATCTTGTCTTCATTTTACTTATTAAGCCTCTTCTATACAGAAGCACAAACTGAATTTTGTATACATATGTACATGTTAATCTATGTATCTTCAGAAAAAACAGCACATATAATTATTTCTTTTGTATGGTGATCTTGGAGAACCCTTTGCCAATGTTTAGAGTCGGCCAATAATGAATAAGTCCTTGTCCACAAAACATAAATTTTGTCCTAGTTGTTATACTTCTATTTGGCATTGAACCATCCTTTATTGGTTGTACAGGTTTCTTCCTGGCTTGTGAATTTAAATAGGAGCCATGAGCACCAAATACTGGTTGGTTTCTTCTAATATGTATTTTTCTTTTACATAATATATCATTCACTTATTGATTGTCAGATTATTGGTTTTTGGTTCATAATTGTCCTTTGATATCTAATGTTCATTGTGTTATTTCCTATTAGTTTCTTCCTTGATATTAATGATATTTTCAGGGGAATTAAAGAGGATTCTTGCCCAAAAGACTGGCTTGAAGCCTCAAGAACAAAGGTTATTCTTCAGGGGAAAGGAGAAGGACAACGAGGAGTATCTGCACATATCAGGAGTTAAGGAAATGTCAAAGATAATGCTTTTGGAGAACCCAGAAGCCAAAGAGCAGAAAGCTGAAGAGATGAAAAGGCTTGAAGAGAATAAAGAGGACAGAAGGATGTCAAAGGCTAGTGAAGCAGTTGTCCTTGTAAGATCCGAGGTCGATAATCTTTGTGAAAAGGTTGGTATTCAACTGAAGAGCAATTTCCTAAAGAGAAATATAATCTTTATATTGAGCTTACATTTGTGCAGGCTACTGCTTTGGAGTCGGCAGTGCTTGGGGGCACAAAAGTCGACGAAAAAGAGTTTCTTATGTTGACTGAATTACTCATGGTGCAGTTACTGAAATTAGACAGAATTGAGGCAGAGGGAGAAGCAAAAATACAAAGGAGGACTGAGGTAGTTCAGTAGTTGATGTTTACTTTCTAGCTTTACTTACATGCTTAATTTTTACAGTTATAAAAATTCTCTTTGATCTTGATATTATCATGTACTGCTTTTTGTTTGATTATTCAAATTCCTTCTACTGTTTCTCCAAATCCCTTTGTTAAAGAAACACGTGGAGTATTCTTATTTTACTAAAGAATCTATAATATGCTGTAACTGGCACTTTGGAAGTGTTAAGTTAAATTACTAACATATATCGAAGGGCGAACTATATGAACCATAATAATTAATTACTCTGATAGAAGTTTCATGAAATGATTTTGCCTTTCTTTACACACGTGTACAACATTTCACACATATATGCTCACTAATATAAATATGTACATGAATGCATAACATATGTAGATGTGTAGGTACACTTACATAGAGAACACATAGACCCATCATGTGTTTGTGTGCATGCCTATGTACACTTTCATATCTTTAATAAGCAACAGTAGATATATCGCTTGCGACACTCATGTCTGTTGTAATCATGGTATGATAACTAGACTTTAAGCCGAATGCATGTGTATGCATAATTTTGCACTGGAAATCAATAATGTAATTAGCATTCAAGCATATGCATGGTATAGGAAATGAGACATTTGAGGTACTCGTATAATCCCACCAAAAAGGTCACGAGGCTTCTTTCCCGTCTTGTTCAAGGTGTTTGGAAAGACTACTCTTGAATCCTAGTAGATAATAATAGACTACTAACTGTATTTGATAAATATGCTATTGGAAAAATCAACAACTTTATTATTATACTCCGGGACACTTGGCTATGGCTTGAGACATGGACAGCCATGCCTTATATATGTACTTAAGTAAATAGAACATTGAATACAATTGTTTAAACTAGCAAAAAAACAATAGGAAGAATGTCTAAAATGGATATGAGGCAAAAGAAAGAAGTATTTCCATGGTCTTCCAAACCCAGAAATGCCTTTCCAACTAGTTGTTCAATACATACCCACAAATTTGTTCATCATCATTCATTCGAAACATGTTTATGACCCAGACATGTATTTCCAACTTGTTAACTGTTCGCAATTTTCATGGACAATAACCCACAATTTCTTTTTTTGTCTATCATCGTTCATTCAAACCAAAATCAATTAATTATGACTAGCAATTCGTGATTTTGGTGAGTTATAACCTGCGATTTTTGTATTTTTTATTTCATCCCAATGACAAGTAATTATACGTACAAAATCTGTAATTTTCATGGGTTATAACCCTAGATTTTTTGTGTATTATTGTTAGTTTTGTCCCTGTGACAATTAAATATTCTTTCATAAAAAATCACAATTTTCTTAGGCCCCAATGGAAAATAAATATGTGTACTTCAAAATTCGTGATTTTCATGAGCTAGTCCATGATTTTTCCCTTTTTTTTTGTCCATTTCAACCATCTAGCAAATAGTTGTTCGAATTTTAATATTTCTAGATTTTCATAGCCTATAACCCATGATTTATATCCATTATAATGACTACAAACTTCGTGATTTTAGTGGGTTATAACCCACAATCACAACATTTCTTGTTCTTTCATCCTAGTATTAAATATTTGCGTCTCTCATGGGGATATAACCCATGATTTTCACATTTGATCTTTTTAACCCAGTGACATTTTGTTATGAGTACTTCAAAATTTGAGATTTTCATAGGCTATAACCTATAATTTTTGTCAAGTTTTGCCTGTTACGACAATTTAGCAAGTAATGGGGTGAACTTCAATATCTGCGATTTTCATGTGCAATTAATTAAGATTACTTCAAAATTTGCGATTTTGGTGGGTTATAACTCATGATTTTGGCAATATTTGATCATTTCGTCCCAATGCTAAGTAATTATACATACGCAAAATTCGCAATATTCATGAGCTATATACTACGATTTTGTGTACTTTTGTTAGTTTCGTCGCGATCGTAACTAAATTTTCTTTCATAAAAAATGGCAATCTTCAAAGGCTTTTAATCTATGATTTTATGTCCATTTTTGTTCTTCGACCCAATGGAAACTTCAAAATTTGTGACTTTCATTGGTTATAGTCTATGATGTTGTCCAATTTGTTCATACAATAATTTAGTGATTAATTGCGCGCGTGAACTTTATTAATGGTGATTTTCTTTGGCAATAACCCACGATTTTTATCCGTCATTGTTCATTCGAATCGAAAGCAACTGATTATTACTACTTCAAAATTCATGATTTTGGTAGGTTATAATCCACGATTTTTGCATTTGTTTTTCTTTCGTCCCAATGACAGGTAATTATACATATTTTAAAATTTGCACTTATTCATGGGTTATAACCCATGAATTTTGTGTATTTTTGTTAGTTTCGTCCTGATAGCAAGTATATATTTTTCATAAAAAATAGCGATTTTCATGCGATATAACTCACAAAACTTTGTCAATTTTTGTTCTTAGACCTTATACATTATAAATGTGTACTTCAAATTTCATAATTTTTATAAGCTATAATCCATGATTTTTTATCCATTTTTTATTTTTTTTAGACCATCTAGCAAATAATTATGCATAACTTTAATATTTGCAACTTTCATGGGCTATAATCCATAATTTATATCCATATTTAAGACTCAGTTTAAAAATTCACGATTTTAGTAGGTTATGACCAGTGATTAAAGCAAAATTTCTTCTTTCATTCTTGTGCCAAGACATTGTACATACTTCAAAATTTGCATTTTTCATGGGCTATAACCCGAGATTTCTGTCACATTTCATCTTTTCAACGCAATGGCATATTATGCGTACTTCAAAAATCATGGATTATAGTCCATGATTGTTTTTCTATTTTATTTGTTACGATAATTTAGCAAGTAATTGTGTGAACTTCAATATTCACGATTTTCTTGGTTGTCTCCGTATTTTGTCCATTATCATTCATTCGAACTAAATGCAATTAATTATGATTACTTCAAAATTCACAATTTTAGTGGATTTAACCCACAATTTTGACAATTTTGTTTCCTTTCGTCCCAATACCAAGTAATTATACATACCTAAAATTTCACAATTTTCACGGGCTACCCATGGTTATTGTGTATCTTCTTTTATTTCATCTAGGTGGTAATTAAATATTCTTTCATAAAAAATCACTATTTTCATGGAACCCATAAAATTGTGTCAATTTTTCTTCTTTGACCCAATGAAAAATATTGTACTTTGAAATTCATATTATTTTTAGGAGCTATAACCTATTATATTTGTACATTGATTCATACGACAATATCGCAATTAATAGTGTGAATTGTAGTATTCGTGATTTTTAGGGGCAATAACCCACGGATTTTGCTCATTGTTTATTCGAACCTAAGTTGCATGGAAACGGGCACGGGTGTGGGTATGGGTAGGGGATACGGCAAAACTATAAAATGTTGGGTACATTTTTTTACTAGACATCTAAACGACCCATTAACTATATAGTTTTGAACTTGGGTATGGACTGAAACGAACTCGACCCGTATCTCATTAGTTTTAAAAGACGGATGTGAAGTGTAAGCTCTACGTCCAGAAAGTCTTTGACAAGTGTTTTAAATTAACACATATATCGTCTAATTGAGTACATGTTGTAATAAATGTATGCATATATTCAAGAAGTGTCCATGAAGTTTGGGTACGGGAAAGTGTCGGGTACGTGTCTGGTACGGGTACAGCTTCAATAATGAAGTACCCGGGTAACATAGATTCGAACCAAAAGCAATCAGTTATGACTACAAATTACCGATTTTGGTTGGTTAAAACCCACGGTTTTTGGATTGTTTTATCTTGTCCCAAGGACAAGTATTATACATACTTTAAAATTCGCAATTTGCATGGATTATAGCCTAAAATTTTTATCTATTTTTGTTAGTTTATTCATGATGATAATTAAATATTCTTTCATCAAAAATCTTGATTTTCATTGACTTTAACCCATGAATTTTTGTCAATTTCCGTTATTAGACCCAATAGAAAATAAATATAGGCAATTTAAAATTCGTTATTTTCATGAGCTATAGTCCATTATTTTTGTCTATCTTTTTTGTTTGTTTTGACCATCCAGCAAATAAGTATGTGAATTTTAATATTCACACTTTTTATAGGCTATAACTCACGATTTATGTTCATTATTATGACTGCTTCAAAATTTGCGATGTTAGTGGGCTATAGCCCATGATTAGAGCATCTTTTCTTCTTTCATCCCAATGATAGGTAATTCTGCATACTTCAAAATTGGTGTTTTTATGGGCTATAACCCTAATTTTTATCACATTTGATCATCTTAATCCAACGGAATCTTATTATGCGTATTTCAAAGTTTGTGATTTTCATGGGTTATATAACCTATGATTTTTGTCAATATTCGTCGGTTATGGTAATAGCAAGTAATTGTGAGAACTTTCATATTTGTAATTTTCATGGGCTATCCATGATTTTTGTCCATAATCTTTCATTCGAATCAAAAGCAATTAATTATGATTATTTTAAAATTCACGATTTTGGTGGATTATAGTCTACGATTTTGACAAATTTTGTTCCTTTAATCCTAGAGCCAAGTAATTATACGTACCTCACAGTTAGTAATTTTCATGGGTTATTATTGTAGATTTTTATGTATTTTCATTAGTTTCGTCTTGATGGCAATTAAATTTTCTTTCATCACGAATTGTAATTTTCATGATCTTTAACTCAAAATTTTTTATAAATTTTTGTTCTTCAACATAGTGAAAAATAAATATGCATACTTTAAAATTCGTTATTCTCATAGACTGTAGTCCATTAGGTTTGTTCATTTTTACATTTTGATATTCACGATTTTCATGGGTACAACCCACGATTATTATTAATTTTTATTTGTTTTGACCTAATGTTAAATAAGTTCTATTTTTTTCTAATATAGTGATTTTCATGGGCTATAAACTATGATTTTGGTCAATTTTTCATTTTAACCAAATCGTAAATAAGTTATTTCTCTAAAAATCGTAATTTTCATGGTCTATAACCCTCGATTTTTATACTTTTTAATTCTTAGACACAAAGAGAAATAAATATGCATACTTCAAAATTCATGATTTTCATGGATTAGCCTATGATTTTGTTCCATTTCGTCCGTTACAAAAGTTTAGTAAGTAATTATATGAACTTCAATATTTGTGACTTTCATGGGCTATATAACTCATGATTTTTGTCTATTATCATTCATTCCGACCAAAAGTAATTAATATAATTATTTCAAAATTCGCGATTTTGGTGGGTTATAACTCACAAATTTAATATTTTTTGTTCTTTTTTATAGTGCTAAGTAATTATACAGACTTAGAATTCACAATTTTCATGAGTTAACCATGATTTTTGTGTATTTTCTAATTTTTGTCCCAATGGCAATTAAATGTTCTTTCATGAAAAATCGCTATTTTTATGGTTTTTGAACAGCAGTTTTTTGTTAATTTTGTTCTTGGATCCAGTGAAAAATAAATATATATACTTGAAAGTTTATATTATTTTCATGGGTTATACTCCATTATTTTTGTCCATTTTCCTCTCGACCATTTAGGAACTATTTATGCAAATTTCAATATTTGTGGTCTTCATGAGCTATCGCCCGTAATTTTTATCAAATTTTATTTTATTTTGTCCCAATGGTAAATAAGTTTTCTTACTTAAAATTTCGTGATTTTTATGGGCTATAACCTACGTTTTTTCGTCAATTTTTGTTCATTTCGATCAAATGGCAAATAAGTTCTTTCTTCAAAAATTATGATTTTCATAGGCTATAACTCATAATCTTATTAATTGTTAACCTTTGACCCAATGGAAAATAAATATACGTGCTTCAAAATTTGTGGATTACATGGGCTATAGTCCATGATTATTGTCCATTTTGTCCTTTATGTCAATTTAACAAGTAATTATGTAAACTTCAATATTCACAATTTTGATGGGGTATAATCCACGACTTTTGTCCAATATTGTTCATTCGAACTAAATGCAATTAATTATGATTACTTCAAAATTAGCGATTTTGAGTGTTATAACAAACTATTTTGGCAATTTTTTTCTTTCGTCCCAATGCCAAGTAATTATATGTACCTCAAAATTCGCAATTTCATGGGCAATAACCAACGATTTTTGTGTATTTTCGTTAGTTTCATCTCAATGGCCATTAAATATATTTTTTCATGAAAATTTGTGATTTTCATGGATTTTAACCCATGATTTTTTTTGTCAATTCTCATTCTTTGACCCAATCGAAAAAGTAAATATGTGTATGTCAAAATTAATTATTTTCATGAGTTATAGTCCATTATTTTTGTCCATTTTTCCATTTTGACCATGTTGCAATTAGGTTTGTGAATTTTAATGTTCACGATTTTCATAGGCTAACCCACAATTTTTGACAAATTTTATTTGTTTTGACCCAATGGCAAATACACTTTCTTTCTTCAAAAATCGCGATTTTAATAGACTAAATCCATGATTTTTTTTCAATATTTTTTTGTTTCGATCCAATTGTATATAAGTTTTCTTTCTTCAAATATCGCGAATTTTCATGGGCTATATACCCACGATTTTATCAATATTTGTTCGTTTCGACCAAATGACATAAGTTTTCTTTCTTAAAAAATTACAATTTTCATGGGTTATAGCTCACAATTTTTATCAATTTTTATTCTTCGATCCAATGGAAAATAAATATGCGCATTACAGATTTCATGATTTTTCTGGAATAAAGTCCATGATTTTTGTCCATATTATCAGTTACGATAATTTAGCAAGTAATTATGCAAACTTCAATGTTCACGATTTTTATGGGATATAACCCATAATTTTTGTCCAGTTTCATTCATCCAAACAAAATATGCATAGTTCAAAATTTTGGAGGGTTATAACCAACGATTTTGTCAATTTTGTCACTGTTGGACCCTTTTCTTATTCTTCGTCCCACATTTTGCTGCGTTTTTTTTTCTTTTCTTTGTTTGTTTTTTTGTTTTTTGTTATCGTGTATTACTGAAATGTAGTGGCTAATTGTTTGGGCAAGTCTCACAAAAATGCCATGGATTTTGCCCGAGTTGCCATAAACTATTTCTATTCGAGAAAATCACCATGAACTTTCAAACTGCAAAAAATAAAATAAAATAAAAATAATGATAATAAAGGAAATTGTTGGTAATGACACTAACATCTTGGATAAAAGGTCTAAATTAACATTCTATATCTGTCAATCCGCGAAGTCTGCAAGGATAATACAGAAGATAAATAAAGTATACGTGCCAAATTTGTCCAAAACATGCGTGACAACTGACCCCAAGTTCCTTCAGTTTTCTCTAATAGAAAAGTTTATGGTGGTTTTGTGCAGAACACATCAAAGGTCATGGCAGTTTTGTGAAAATTACTTTAATTCTTAACATTTTTCATCAATTGGCCAGAACAATTGTTCACACCCCTGTTTGTAAAATTTCTCAGGTTTGTCGGATACAGAGCCTTGTGGACACGCTTGATGCACTAAAGGATGGAAACTCCAACCCATTCAGCAACAGAAGCAATGCGACCTCTGTAACAACTCAGTGGGAGACATTCGAGTCTGAGGTGGGGAGCCTGAGCGCAGCCCCAGTACTCATGGCATCGTCTACTCAAGTTACCAACGACTGGGAGCAGTTCAATTAGATTGTGACTCAACTATCAATTATGCGTTTTGTTTTTGTTCGCTGAGATTTTTGATTTTGGTTATGAAAGGCTTGTATACATATGGGTAATGGATTCTCCTTTGATGTTAGAAAGTATGGTTACTGCATGTGAAGTTAATTCCTTCTGTGGTTCCAGAGAGTAAGGAGTTCCCCATATGAATTGCAGCATCCCCTACTGTCTAACAGCTAACGTGATGAATCTATAAATGATGCGTATTTTTAATTTGTAAATGTTATTTTAACTTTAGTAAGGCGCATGTCATTTTGATTGGCTCATATTGAAGTTGTTATTTTAAACTTATTTATAAATATCGGTTTGATTAGCTTGTACTCAACTTATTATTATTATTATTATTATTATTTTGCTTTATCCTATATATGTGAGAACTCAGATACTTACTAGGTTTGGATGGTGTCAATTACATTTAGATATGGATGTTATTGTAACGTACATGTTTGTTTGACAAAGGAAAAAGATCAAAATGATTTCAATATTCAATCTTAGACATAGTAGTTTTGAATAAAATTTTCTAGTAGAAATATCTTTTGTTTAGTACTTTTTTAACTCGAAATTGGATATCAAGGCATCTACCTGCTAGTGTACACCCAGCAGAAGTTAAGCTCAATAAATCAAGCGGTATTACCACCAAACCAACCAAGTGGGCAGCCCCGGTGCCCGGTGAGTAAAAGCCTCGTCTATTCCCATCAGAAGATCAGGGATAAAAAAAAGTAATTAATTTACCAAATTAGCTATTAACATTTTGCTACAAATGCCGGCAAAAATTTAGATGCCCAAAAACCTTTGTTGCAGCCTTTTCTGCTACTCATCATGTTAACCAAATAAGAAAATACAGATCTAGATACAGTTGAGAAAATGCCTCTAAGATGGTTTTTATTTTTATTTTTTTCGAAAAGGGATACAGACAAATTGAAAAGTCTACACTTAAAAAAATCAAGAAACAAAATTGCTCCCATAACATTCTGCTCAGCCACAAAAAGCAACTGCTTTAAATCTTAACAAGACAAAATGCTGCCTATCTGGGCGGATACAGCAATTGACCTCTATGAGGATTCAATGTCTGAAACATTTGTAAAGTGCAGATTTTTTTACAGATCAAATATAGAATCTCAATGCAGGTCTGAAAATAGTTTGTTTCAAGCTTATATCAGATGCATACCAGTATCCGAGACGATTCTGGGGATAGAGGTTTTCCTGCTTCACAAATTACAAAATCCGATACTAACTCGACAACACCTGCATTGGAAAAAAAAGTTAGCAAAAACACTTCAGATGCTCCTTTTCCTCACAGATAATTCACAGTCCCACTTGAGTTTCAAATGATTGCTACAAGAACTACAAAAAGAAGAAACTACAAACCTTTGTTCAAGCGAACAGGCATGCCCTGTTTCCGAATAAATGGCTCCATTTCATGTGTAAACTGTTCCAAAGGACCCTCCTTCAACTCCACCTGTAACAACCAAGGGTATGGATATGTAAAGTTTTCAAGCAAAGAACATCCGGACAACATTAGGAAGCACATCTACAATAGATGTTTTATCCCTTTTTACAATCTTTCATTTATCAGCATTATTTTTTTCTTTCCCCCTCACAATCCATAATCAAATTCGTTTCTTATGGAAAAATTCAGTTGCTACAACTATATGAGTGATCTAGTCACATATCTACTGTTTCTTAGATGTTGAGAAAACATAGAAATAATTTGGTACACAAATACATTAAGCAGAATTAAAGAAAGAAAGACAAATAATAATGCAAAAATTATAAAAAAAGGTAGGATACTATCCGAACCTGTTCTGTTACTAGGCTTCCTGTCCTTGCAAAGTCATGTTCTTCAAATTTTTCGAAAACCCTGCATAAATTTAAAATACAAAATTATTATCCAAGCATAAAATAGCATTTGTTTATAATTATAAGAATGTCTTTATATAAATAAGCTCCACAATTGGACTTGGATTCATAAATAACTATGACAAAAGCAGATATATAATTGGCAACATATCGTATGCTCCCTTTTTTCTAAACTCAACATATCAAGTATTCATAGCCAGCACAAAAGACGTTGCTTTCTATAAATCTGGACCTTGGTATAGAGTTTAAATCTTTTTTCTTCTAATGAACGCCAACTCATTTGAAGAAAACATTTATTTTGCATTTACCACTCATATCTTCCATCTCACTCTAAAATTCTATAATATCTCCAGCTTATCTCTAATAGTCTACATGTTTTCTTCGACAAGGATGCCACTCCCAACAACCTCCAGTGCTTTCATCCCGACTCTTCCAACCTAATTTAATGAAAATCCACCTACAAGTTTCCCATTCTTAGTAAACTTGTACCGAATTGTCATTTTTGTTATGTATTTTCACAGTGTAAAACAATCATGTTACTATTATCTACCAATTGACTTCCATGTTGTAGTATTCGATCACCGTGGAACATGCTAGTGGTTCTCCACACTTCATCCAACTAATTTTAAGGCTTCTAGTAAATGTGATATTCCTATCAAGTATAATCTTTTGAACAGTGACAAAACGAACAGGACTGGTGCATAAAAAATTAACCATTATCATTTTATCCCTACATTCTATTTGTAATTGCAGGTACAACACATCTTCAAAGTTTTACTCCTACATTTAATCCAGTTAAATGTTATAAGTAACCAACAACTAAAAATTAAGCACTAGTGGAGAATTCATGCAAACTTCTCTATAAAAAAAGAAAACCCTGAAGTGGGTTTGTCAATTATAGTGATTATCTTACAACATTATTAACATATGTTCAACTAGCAACATCTTCATTGATCCAACAGCATTATCGGGAAATGCGTCATCAATAAATGATTTCTTTGTTTAAAAAACTAAACCCATGCTTTTTAGAAACAATTATCAAAACATGCTCATCAGTAAAAAAAGTTCTAAGGGTACCTCTGCACCTCCTCTCTGTCCATATTCGTAAAACAAAGCCCAGAATCACCTCGCATAAACTGAAACCGATATCCAAATTAACATAAAAACCACTAAAGCATACTACTACTAGCAAACATGTATCTTTAAATAAACCTTTGAAAGCTTATGCAGCCCGGTTTCACTTCATCAGCGACAGACCGACCCAGTGATATCTGCATAACTTTATTCGACCCGAGAAAGAACCTGCGAAAAAAATCCAATTTTGATTCAAGCCCGTTACAAATTACACCAAAATTAGAAGGAAAAAAAACACATCAAAAAAAGATTCCCATAACAACTAGCTGTTTGACTTGAGCTGCTCTCTGAACTCTTTAAACTTTTGATTCCTCATGTTCTCGAACGTGAAAACATAAGCAGAGCTGTATTCTCGTACTGCCCGCTTGATTGAGCCCAAGATTGCTTCTTTTTGGTCTCTTCCCTTCTTCTTCGCCTTTGGGAGAGTAACTGAGCATTTGGGGATAAAATTCGATCAAAGATGAACAAATGCTTTGTGAGATTTCAAAAATTAACAAGAAATGAGAGATCTTTACCGGTTCTGTTGCGTTTGGATTTCGGCATCTTGGCTTTGACTGGGGATTCTGATGCTGAGATCCTCCTCCTTCCTCTTTCTAGGGTTTCGGTGTTGGTTTCTTTCAACGCGGGCTCAATTGAAATTTTGGTTTTTTTTAACGGGTGAAGGACAACCGTTAGATCTGTCAGAAACAGTTTGGTCGTTGGATGGTCTAATGTGGAGATCACTTGATTAGGTCACTAATCATTTCGTACTCCCTTAAAAAATGGGGTTTGGGAAAAACATTCACTACATAAAAATACTCTCGGTTTTTTTAATTATTACATTGTTATTTTATTATAATAAATATATTTATTTAGAATTTTTAGTATGAATTTTGTGCAATTTATAGGAGATAGAATTTTCAAAGTAAAAATTCTAAACAAATATTATATATCCATAGCTGACCTATGTATTCATAATTTATTTGAAAGTATAGCCATTAGTTAATATCTTTTTCGTCAAACAAGCTTATATCCTATCACATTGACTTACATTATTATGTATGCATACTTCTTGCATACACCCCTCTCCTGATAGAAATTCTATTAGATAAATAATTTTCATCTAAGCCCTTTAAATATTTATTTATAAATTAAAAATTAATCTATCGACTTTACTATAATATCATCCCCGCTCATGTTAGTCCATAATTATTAATAAAAGAGGATAAACTTTCGATCTAAACATCCTAGCTTTCTATTTATAGATTAGAAATTAATCCAAATTTAATTAGGTAATTCAAGTAATTAATTTGTTGGGAGATTTACTTTTGTTGCAGTGGGTATCTATATTATTTCACATTTTGAGGTAACAATGTCAATATGATTTGCTAAGAACATGTAAAGACCAGAGGGAGTTTTTTGAGAAATCCTATATTTGAGGCGGCTAAATCAAAATTTCAAAGTTGAGTGAGGTTATTACAACACTCTTAAAATTAAGTGTTAGAACGTTGTTCGGTTAGTAAAATGTTGTTCAAGAAATTTCTCTTGTTTGATTAATAACAAACTCTCATTAACTACTGATATATTTGTGAGATGATATATTTCAAGTATAAACAGGTACAAACGAATTACGATTCAAAACGATGCAAAAAATCAACACGAACGTTGATTTCAGCCTTTAAACCATCGATGGTGATGAGCCACCATCAATGATTAAGTCAAGTCATCGATGGACTACAAGAAAGAATTGGAGAAACAAAAACTAGATTTCAAACCATCGATGGTCTACAGTCGACCATCGATGATCACAAGGACCATTCATGGATTGCACTTAACAATCACAGAAATCCAGAAACTAGAATTTACATCGATGAACTATAGTCAATCATCAATGGTCATTAATGGACCGTCAATGATCGTGACCTATCATCGATGGTTGCAACAATTTTTAGCATATTTTAAGTTTTAATCTCAACCATTCGTTGATTCTGTTGATCTCTTATTAGAACTATGATTAGAGGATCTGTTTCCTATACTATCAATGTCTATTTAAAGGTGAATTGAGGAAGAGAATAAAGAGAAGAAGAGAGAGAGAGGAGATTGCACAAAAAAGACGAGAGTTTATTAGGGTTTGTAAGAGCCTCGTTCAACTTCTTCTCGGTACGCTTTTCATTGGAGTTTTTTTTTTCAGAAAGGAGTGTCCTATGCCTACAACACTATATCGTTTCTTCACAGGTCTTCATCTACATCGATTTTAAGAACGATTTGATAAAGGGCTATGAGATTATTCTTTTTATTACTTGTCTATTTTTGGTTGATTGTATTCCAAACTTTCTAATATGATAAAGGGCTATAAGATTTGATAAACGATTTGATATAAAGTTGCATCACTATTCACCGTCCACCAGTTCTTGCATCTTCCCTTTTCAACCGGTTACTTAAAAACCATGTACTTCTCTTGCAAGCAACATGAACCACTTGACTAAAATGATTGAAGTGAAAGAGAGAAACAACAAAAACAGTGATGCAACTTTCTAAGAAGACATAATTGTCCTGCTGCGCGCTCTCATACCGAAATAGATTCAACCCCTAAGGATTTGCCACAATCATCACCAAAAAAAAAAACTCTCCGTCCTATCAAAAGAGAGCTAGCTAGCTAGAGAGATCGAGGAAGGATACTATACATATATTTTGATGAGAAAATATGCTGCAATGGCTCCCGGAGATGGGAATGAGATGGAGCTGATAGATGACAGGAGAAGTTATAAGATGCACGGAGAGATAATGTTGCTTGTTCTCGCGGTCGTTTGCTTGCTGTTTACCGTCTCCCTTTTACTATGTCTCTATCTCCGGCGCCTGAGGAGGCTCGGTCGGCGAGATGAGGAAGGAGATGATTGCTCATCGGAGACGTCAAAGATCGGCTCCAAGGTTCGTGTGGGGTCGGTGATGTACACTGGCGGCCAGTGAATTCACAGGGGCATGGTTTACTTAGCATATCATTGGCGGTTGGTGCGTAATTGTACTAATATTTGTGGTGTCGGCAAAAATTCAATATCCTGCTTTCGTCGCCTTACTTTTTTTTTTTTTTTTTTTTGAATTGTTATCGATGTAAATGTAACCTCTTTCTACCTCCCCGTGTGATTTTTAATTAAGGGTCCTCCGTATATGCTGTTGTTTGAAGCCATATATGGGGATCCATGTGGATGAGGTCTGAATTACTTTGACTTTTCTTCTTCTTTTTTTATTCTACGAGGCGTGTGACGTTTCTCATCTCTTGTGAGGCTACATTATGTACAAAACATCTTTTTCTTCTTTTAACGTTTTTCTAGAATATATATATATATATATATATCTGGTTTATATTTTGAAGCGGGTTTACTTAAAGGGAAATGGTATATGCACACCACCAACCACATATTGGGGCACACTCCCCTCTCTCAGCTACAGTGCACGGGACCTACATGAATTTTTTTTTAAAATTTCATGTGGACCCATACACTGTAGCTGAGAGAGGGGTATGCCCCAAGTTGTGGTTTGTGGTTTATCTGTAGTGCCACCCTTGCTTAAACTCTCTTGACGTTGTCCTTCTTTTTGCTGTTTACATAAGATACTTTGGTGGGCACATGTCACATAAGTGAGTACTATATTCACGTTCGCGCCATCAAAAAAGAAGAAAAAAAAGGTACCATGTTCACGTTAGGTGTTTTGTTTGTTATGAAACATGATCCTATCAATAAGGAGGGGCTGGGAATGATGTGACCCGGGAACCATAGTAAAGGGGTATTTTCATAGAAACCAGTGGTTGTATGAAAACCATCTTCGAACTTTAATTTATGTAAACGATGTCTTTAAAGGGGATTGCGTTTGCAATCAACCATATTGAGCTATTTTCTGATAAAATATTAACTTAAATTCTCAAATAGCCTTAGAGATGTCATGTGCTTGGTAGGTGAGTTTTTAAGGATATTTGGGAATTTTAGTTAGAATTTAATCAAAACATATGTCAAGGTAGATGATTGCAACCGGAACCGCCTTTAAAGATGTTTTCTACACAAATTGAACTTTAAATGTGGTTTTCGTATAATCAACCTAATTTAAAGGTGGTTTATGTGAAAATTCATCCTTTTCTCTAGCTGTAAATTGTAGACTTATAGTGAGGCTAAATTACCAAATTGGTATTTTAACTTGACCTTATATTTCAATAGGACACTTATTTCTGCTCCAGCATCAATAAGGTATTTTAACTTGTTCCATGATGATAATAAAATCTATTTTTTCGCCGACAACGAGATTTCCAACAAAAAATATCTTTTTAATTTTGAAAATTTTATTCCATCCCCCTAATCCATCAAAATTTATTAAAACATTCCTTCTCCTTCAACCTCTCCCAATTCAAATTTCTTCCACCCTTTTACCCAGTAAAATCGCCCTTTACTCTTTCTCTCTCTCTTTTGTCAATGGAGCTTCCTCTTTCTCCTTCATACTCTGCTAACTCAAACCTAATCCTTAATCCAAATTGATCAACTTGGATGAATGTCGCTAGATTGAACTAAATTTTAGATTGGAATTGGGAGAGATTGAAGGACAAAGAGGATGCTCAAAAGGAAGATCAAATTTGGTAAAGGAGTTGAACAATTTTGAAATTAATGGGGAAAATTGAAGGAGGAAGAGGGTGTAATTTAATAATATTGATAAGTTATGGGGAGGAAAGGTTTTCCAAAATAAAAAAGGCCCTTATTGTAATCGGGACATGAGTTAAAATATCGTATTGACACCAAAGCAGAAATAAATACCCTATTAAAAAATAGGGTCAAAGTTAAAATTCCACTCTAGTAATTTAGCCCTTATAATAATGAATGTCGAAACACGTGATAAAATGATAAATAATAAAGTAACAGAGAAAATGATAAATACTGGTAAGATGATAGATAATATCATCCTATCATTGCTCTACATAAACTACAAACGGGGTGCGCAACTATCTGATGTATCGAACAAATGAGCCATGTTAATTTGTATAGTTGCATATAAAACATAAATTCTTCATAATTGAGAGTGCCGTATATTTATATAATTTTATTTTTTCTATATAGATAATGACATTATATCATTGTGCTATATTTGTTGGATTTGAGATGCAAGCTTGGGAGGGTAAATTAGGGTGTTTCCGTTTTGTGCTAAAAACACAGAACATGCAGCTGAAAAGATAAAATAAAAGCGATCAACGATAACCAATACAAATAACAACCAACCAGGAACACACATGATTTTATAGTGGTTTGAATAACAATCCTACGTTCACTCTTCTTTCTAGCTAAAAGGCTTTCTCACTATGCAAACAGTTCTCCTGAATCACAAACCCGATTCATTAGGTTTACAAGACCGCACCATGTAATCTATTCAAAATCAGTCGTCTAACTTAACTCTCCACAATGAGTAACACTGAGTCTTAGCTAGTCCTAATCCTCGATTAAAATTGGCTTGAATACATCGTAAAAACAAGTTCAAACCAAATGTAATTCGCAAATGATAGTTTGTTATTACTCAAACTAGAAATATTGTACGGACTACGTCCTAACAATATTTACCTAGAAGAACAAAACCACCACCAAAAACAAGTCAAACCAAAATCAGTTTTGCACAAACCCATGATCTATCAGCTATCTGTAACAAGTTCGAGCATCAAACCATAGGCAATTTGGCATTCCAAGAAGTAATTTGATTACGAAACATATCATCTATAATGCACATAAAACAAGGGTCTCCAAGAAACATGATAATGTGACACTAACAGAACACAATCTACTCTAAACAATTTCTCCTGATAAGATACAACATCGCGTTACAATATAAGATAACAGCACTAGAAAATAAAGGCACCAACTAAAAGAGATGTCAATGGTACAGTCAAATTGTCATCCAGTTCTGAACTTATGGGCAATGATTCAACAAACGCTGCAGCAATTGACACTAAAAGGAAGCGTATGCTCATTCCCCAGCTCTCCTCAATGTATCCAAATGTCGAGAAGTAATGCATGTACCTGAAGGAAAATGACATATGATCATATAAGAAGGGGGGCAACTACATGTTTATTGTAGTAGATTATATATAGGGTAACTTTAAATAAATAACCTGAACTATAAATCATAGAAAATATTGCGCCCCCTCAGCCCCTTAACAACTAATATGCGAATTCCAAATTTTGCGATTTTCACGGGCTATATAAATCACAATCTTTGTTCATTTTTGTATGTTTCTACCCACTAGCAACTAATTACGCATACTTTAAAATTCGCAATTTTCATAGGTTATAACTCATAAATTTTGTCCATTTTGAAAATTTTGACCCCATGGAAATTACGTGCATACTTTACAATTCGCGCTTTTCATGAAATATAAATCATGATTTTTCTCCAAATGACAATTAAATACGCTTACTTTCAAATTCGTGAATTTCATGTACCAATAATGTCTTCCCCTTTTTGTTTGTTTTGATTTAATATGGCAATTAAGTACGGATACTTCAAAATTTGCGATTTTCATTAGCTATAACCCACCATCTTTTTTCTTCCCGATCCAATAACCAGTCAATGCATAAACACAAAATTCATGACTTTCATTGGTTATAATCCATATTTTTTGTCCATTATTTTCCCCGTCTCAACCCAGTGCAATTAATTACACATACTTTAGAATTCGCGATAAACACGCACTATAACCTACGAGTTGTCTGGTTTGTGGTTTCTAGCCAATAGCGTTAATTATTCGTATTTTAAAATTGGCAATTTTCTTAACCTATACAACTCATGATTTTTTTTCTGTCTGTTTTGATACAATGGCAATTAAGTATATGTCCCGCAAAATTCGTTATTTTCATGGGTTATAACTCACCATTTTTCCTCTTTAGACCCAATTGCAATTAATACGCTCACTTTAAAACTTACAATTTTCGTGGGCTATAGCTCACGATCTTTGCTCATTTTTGTTCTTTTTGACCCCACAACAATAATTATAGATATGCATATTTAAAATTTTGTGATTTTTATGACTATAACTCATAATTTTTGTCCATTGTGTACGTACTCTGCGCATATTTTGAATTCACAACTTTCCTATTCTAATCCATAATTTGTGTCCATTTTCATTCGTTTCAATTCAATAGCAATTAAGTACATATACTTAAAAAATTCGCGATTATCATGAGCTACAACCCTCGACTTTTTCCATTTCAATCCAATGACAATAAAATATGAATACTTCAAACTTCATAATTTTCATGGGCTATAACTGTGATTTTTGTTCATTTTATATGTTTTGACCTAATGGCAACTAATTACACATACTAGAAAATTCGCGATTTTCATTGGCTACAAGTCTAGCCATTTTGTTCATTTCTACCCCCATGGCAATTAAGCGCGTATTCTTCAAATTCGTGATTTCCATGGGGCTATAAGTCATGATTTTTGTTTGTTCTTTCTCTCGACCTAATAACTAAATACATTTACTTTAATATTCATGATTTTCATGACTATAACTCGTAATTTTTATCTATTTTTGTTTGTTTTGACCAAAAAAGCAATTATGTGGACGAACCTCAATGCCCAAATTTTATGAGTTATAACCTACAGTTTTTATCCACTTATGTTCATTTCGGCCCAATGGTACGAGTAGCTAAAATTTTGTGATTTCATTGGCTAATCCATAGTTTTCCGTTGTTGCCCGTTTTGACCCAGCAGTGGTAATTAGTTACATGGTCTTTTAACTCAATTTTTTTTGTCCATTTATCTATGCTTTGACAAGATAGCTATTAATTACGTGTACTTAAAAAATCACGATTTTCATAGACTAACCCGCGGTTTTTCGTTGTCATCTGTTTCGACCCAATGACAATTAATTATGCAAACATCAAAATTCACAATTTTCATGGGATAATATAACCCACATTTTTTTGTTTAAGCACAATGGCAATATAGTATACTTCACAATTCTTTTGTCTGTTTATTTTGTTTCGACCACGTAGCAATCGAGTACACATACTTCAAGATTTGTGATTTTTATGAGGTATAAACCATGATTTTTGTCCATTACTTTGTTTCGAACCAATGACAATTAAGAACGCTTACTTAAAGTTTCACATTTTTTGTAGGCTACAACCTATAATTTTTATCAATTTTTGTTTTTATTTTTTTTGTTAATGAAAACTTTTATTCATTTACCAAATTGGAAGTTTAGTTACATCATATCAAACCAGCACAAAAACTGGAACTCAACTCACAAGAGAACACATTTACAATCCCTCAATTCTCTCTCTTATATGAAGTAGAAATTTTTCATTCAAAACTTTTGAGCAGATAGAGATTTTTATTGCTCGAAAAATTACCTCAGGTTGTCGAGTTTTACTCTGGAAAATCCTTAGATTCCTCTCTTGCCATATCAGATACACCGAAACTGCAAGAGTCATCCTCTTTAATTTTTCAGTAAACCGCTTCCCTTTCAGCCTGTAACTGTACCAACTTATAATACAATCCCAATTACATGATCTCCAATTAAACTTTAGCCAATCCATCACCATATTCCAAACATTAGCTGAGAACTAACATTCAAAGAATAAATGGCAACAGGATCCCTGATGGCTTGAGCACAGAACACACTGATTCGTATTGAGAATTCTCAGGCGATATAATCTATCTTGTGTTAATAATCTTGATTGAGCAGCTAACCATAAAATAAAAGAGTGTTTGGGATAATGAATATCATCCCAAATTGTGCTCGCCCAATCAGCTTGAGGTGCAGGGTATATCAGGAACCTGTAAACAAAGGAAATATGCATTTTATCTCCAATACAACATTTACCAAAGATTTCCTGCAGTCTACTGACATTTAATCAACTTATCTCTAGTTTTTATAATCTGCTTCCACATCCAAGAATCATTCGATCTTATTTGAACCTGCCAAATGTCAGCTCTTTGTAAATAATTACCATGTATCCATTTTATCCATAGGATGTCCTTCTAGAGATGGATCATCCACAAAAGTTTAAGTGCTGCTGAATGGTTCCATGTACTTGCAAAGAAAACACCCAAACCTCCATGCTTTTTTTCTTGACAAATTGAAAACCAAGAGACTAAGGGAATTTTATGATTCCAGAGAAATTCAGAGCACATTCTGTCAATTTTCAAAAGAACTATACTCGGCAAGATATAATTGTTAGTCCAATAGATATAAACACCCAAGATGGCTAATTTTATCAGTTGTAATCTTCCAGCGTATGAGAGGGTCTTCTTCCTTTGCCAATTTTGAAATTGCTCAGCTATCTTACTGATTAGGGGGAACAATCCATCCAAGATAATCTCTTTGTTATTAGAGGCATACCTAAGTATCTCACTGGAAAAACCCCTTCAGAAAAATTCAGATAAGAGCATATCTGAAACTTGAGGTTCTCATCAATACCACTCATATAAACTGAGCACTTACTGGGGTTAATATCCAATCCAGATACCTGGCCGAATTCTTGGAGGCAGTTGTGTAGTTTAATGATGGAGTTCATATCAACTTTCCCAAACAAAAGCAAATCATCAGCAAAAATCAAGTGAGTAATTTTCAATCTTGAGCACTTTGGATGGAATTTGAATAAGTCATCATTCCTGAGTGAGTTAAGCTTCCTTGACATATATTCCATACATAGCACAAAAAGATAGGGAGAGAGAGGATTACCTTGTCTTAAACCCCTAGCACCTTGAATATATCCATGGAGAGAGCCATTGAGTGACAATGAGAATTTGGGTGTAGTAATACATTCTATAATCCACATAACCATAGTATTTGGAAATCCAAGACCCAACAACACGGCTTTAATGAAATCCCAGTTAATGGTATCAAAAGCTTTTCTTAAATCAATGTTGAGAGTTGCTCTTAGTGAAGAATATCTCCTCCATAGTGTTTGATAAGCTCATGAGCTAGTAAGATATTGTTTGAAATATTTCTCCCATTAAGAAAAGCACTTTTGAGCTTCACTAATAAGAAAACCCATTCCTTTTTGAATTCTGGTAGTAATTATCTTAGTAATGATTTTATGAACACAATTACAGCAAGAAATTGGTGGAAATCATCAGAAAGAGTTTTAGGATTAATAACATTAGGCACCAGGGTGATCGAAGTAGTGTTAAAAGTACCCAAAAGTTTTTCAGGGCAAAAGAACTCTTCCACTGCAAGATAGAGATCTTCATCAATTATATTCCAAGCTGCTTTGAAGAAGGAGGCATTAAATCCATCAGGGCTAGGAGCTCTGTCATCAGACATCGAAAAGATTGCTTGTTTTATCTCTTCTTTAGAAACAAGAAGGCTCAGTTCATTACTTCGAATAGAAGAGAGGACTAGGCAATTTGCAATCACTTCAGGATTAGGGCTTAGAACAGGAGTTGACGTGCCAAGAAGCTTTTGATAGTATTCAATGAATTCTGTAATGATGTTGGGCATATCAGTAATTCTTTCTCTATTTTCAAAATAAAGAGATAATACTCTATTTTGGTGCCTTTTGCTTTCATAATGGAATGAAAAAATTGTGTGCACTTGTCACCATGGATCCCCCATTTGATATTGGCTTTTTATCTACAGAATGATGTTTCACAGTTGAGAAGCCTTACATATTTGCTGAGACATTCTTTCTCTTTTGAAATCAATATAGAGTTGAATAAATCAGAGTTCAATTGCTTTTGAATCTCAGCAAGTTCATCCTTAGTCAACACTTGTTCACTAATGTTCATGAAATGTTTTTTATTCAACTCCTTCAAAACAGGCTTGAGATTTTTGAGTTTAGTATGAAATTTGAACATTTTGTAACCCACAACATCCTGATCCCAGATTGACTTTACTGTTGAGAGGAAATTTGGGTGACTAATACACATTTTAAAAAACTTAAAAGGCCTTTTACCCACAAAATCATCATCTTCAATGGTTATTAGAGCTGGGGAATGATCTGAGCAGGATAGTACTAAGAATTCCACTTGACTTGAAGTATATTGATGCACCCAATCTTCATTGATTAGAACTCTGTCAAGCCTACACCAGATTCTTGTATCTTTATCATGCTTATTACACCAAGTAAAGAAACATCCTATAGTTTTGAGATGCACAAGTTGTCATGAGGAAATAAAATCCTAAAAATTTTCAGTCTCTGAAGCAGATACTAAAGCCCCACCGATCTTCTCTCCATTATTGATGATTGAATTGAAATCCCCTCTAATAATCCATGGGCAGGAAACAGATAGCTTGAAAGCCAAAATATCATGCCAGAGAGATTTCCTTCCAAGTATATCATTAAGAGCATATACCACAGTGATTATACCTGATAATTTATTGTCCTTGGACTCTATAGCACGTCATATATTGATTTGAGGAATTAATAAGCTGCACTGAGATAATCTCACTATTCCAGAGAATCCAAATCCTAGCATTATTAGCTTGATGACAATTTGAAATCCAACTCCAATCTTTTACCACTTTTTTGCAATTGATTGCATTTTATCTCCAACAACTTTAGTTTCTAAAAGAGCTATAAAAGGAAGCTTGTATTGATAAATGAATTGTTTCACCATCATATGTTTAGAGGATTTATTAAATCCTCTAACATTTCAAATATCTAGATGCATTAAAAAATATGTCCACCCTTATCAATACTAGAGGGGTCAAAATCATGCACCTGATGATCCAAAGGGGAGAAGTGTGATACCTGAAAATATAGTTCTTCAACATTGGATTTTGCTTTTGTATTTACTCTTCTTGCATAATTCACTCTGTTGACACTAGTAAAACAAGTAGCGTTCACAATTGGGGAAGAAAATTGTTGAACAAGAGCTAGTCCAACATCTCTACAACTGATGTTAACTGTTTGTGCATGTTTATCAGGGGTGTGCATTTCACTTTCAGTTTGCCTTATGTTTACATATCCTTCAACATCCTGAGCTTGTTCTCCAGGCATATCCTTTCCATATTCTCCAGGCAACTCCTCAGTACCTTGTTGTGCACGTGCACCAGAAACTTGAGTAGTTAAAGGTACCTTATTAACAGGAACCCATTTTTTCCTCTCAGCCTTCCTTTTACATTGTTCAGTCATATGACCAATAACAATACAAGAACTACACCACCTTAGCTTGAGCTCATATAATACTTTTTGAGTATAGCATTTCCCATCAGGATCTTGTATAATGAGTTGATCAGGTAAAGGTGATTTTAATGGGAGATTTATCTCTAGAAGAACTCTAGCATAGGAAAGCCTTTGTCTTGTTGCTGTGAGTTTATCAGTGGTGATTAGCTTCCCTATGAGACTAGAAATCTTACTTATCCCAGTAGTAGACCACAAGTTCAACCTCAAATTGGGGAATTGAACCCACATAGGGTAGCTATAGTCTTGTATCTTCTCCATGTCTGTATCTATCTTCCATAGCATTAGAGCCAAAGGTCTTGAGCCAAAAAACCATGGCCCAGCTTCCAGAATATCACTCTTATGTTTTTCAGATTGAAAATCAAAGAGGAACACACCGGGCTTAATTAAGTGCACTTCAGTAATAGATATTTTCCCCCACATCTTATTAACATAAGTTTCCATTGATTTATATTTGACATTTAGCTCAATAACATGGTCAATAAGGGCATACTTCCAGTAAGATTCACCTTCTCTCCATTCATCCACAGAGAATGTGACAGAATTAGCTTGGGAGGGTGGAACAAAATTTAGTTTTAATCCATTCCCTTGCTTCCTATTATCAGCAAATAAGCTCGTAAAGGATTTCAAATTTCCAGAATCAATATTATCTAAGCTCTCATCATTCCCCTTAGGAATGTGGCCTGAATCAACATTTCGATCTACTTCTAGATTTGTATTATTTGCTTCAACATTAATATGAACATTCTGTTCAATTTAAGAGTCTAGATCTTCAAAATTTTCTTCATCCAAAGTTGCATCCCCAACAAAAAAACCAGATTCAATATCCTCCTCAACATCATCTGCCCAAATGATAGTTAGATGGATTACCTAGTTGTCGAGAGATTAGGAGTCCAGATCTCAACAGAGGAGGCTGAGGGTCTGATAATGGATTAGATTTAGCCAATACCTCCTCCATTGGCATCTTCTTCCTAGCACCCTTTGGTCCGGTACTCTTCATCACTGTCGTTGAGCTCGAAGAAGCAAAATCATCTGAAGCTACTGTTTCATTGGATTGAGAAGGAAAAACAAAGATTGAATCACGAAGCTCACTATTAAGGACTCTCTTACCCCCACTCTTCTTCTTCCCCATTCAAAACTAGGTGGAGGTGCACGTTAGCAGGGAGAAAATCGGCCGCTAAAATGCACCAACAGACCACCCCTTAAGAAGTTTTCTTTTTAAGTTCATTATATCATCAATTTTTGCTTGTTCCAACCCAAAGACAATTAAGCATACAATCTCAAAATTTACAGTTCTCATCAGCTATAACCCATTATTTTTGTCCATATTTGTTCATTAGGACATAATGGCAATGTAAATGCTTATAATTTTGCGACTTTCATTGGCTAACCCACGAATTTTATCTATTTTCACTAGTAGCAATTAATATGCGTAATTCAAAATTCGCATTTCCAATAGGCTATAACCCATAATTTTTGTTCACTTTTTTGCATTTCGACTCGATGATAATTAATTATGCGTACTTTAAAATTCGCGATTTTTATACGTTATAACTAATGATTCTTGCCCATTTTCGTTGGTTCAATCCAATGGCAATTACGTACTCAAACCTCAATTTCAGGATTCATGGGTTATAAGCTATGATTTCTTTCAACCAAATGGTAACTAAACATGCTTACTCCAATATTGGCGTTTTATATGCTAAAACGCGTGATTTTTATCCATTTTTTATTCCTTCCAACCTCATAATAGTTAAGTGTGCATACTTCAAAGTTTGTTATTTTCATGCGCTATAACTCACTTTTTTGTTTTTTTTTCTCAGTTTGACCTAATGACAATTAATAATGAATAATTGGTAATTTTCATGGTCTATAACTTACAATTTTCTCAATTTTTGTTCATTATGACTAAAGAGTATAACGCATGAGTTTGTCCATTTTCATCTGTTTCGACCCAATGACAATCAAGTATGCGAACCTTAAAATTTGGTATTTTCATGGGCTATATAAGTCATGCATTTTTCTGTTTTAAGCTCAGGGTAGTTAAGTACACTTATTTGAAAATTTGTTACTTGCACGGGTTGCAACTCATGATCTGTCTATTTTTTTCCCTCTTGACCCATAACAATTAAATGTGTGCTTTAAATTTTACTATTTTTGAGGTTATAACTCAAAAAATTTGTTCGTTGAGTCTTTTACCCAATGGCAATTAATTATATGTACTTTAAAATTTGTAATTTCTCATGGAATATAATTTATGATTTTTGTCCATTTATATCGTTCGACCCAATAACAAATAATTACACATACTTCAGTACTCGCAATTTTAATTGGCTATAACCCATAGTTTTTGTTTATTTTCGTGTGTTTTGGCCTAATAACAGTTAAGTAAGCAAGCTTGGAAATTCACAGCTTTCACAGGCTATATCACACAATTTCTTTTCATTTCAACCCAATGGCAATTAAGTATGCTAACTTCAAAATTTTTTATAAGTTATATAACTCACGATTTTTGTCCAGCTTGTTCATTTTAAATCTATGACAATTAAATACGCATATTTCAAAAAATTCATAAGCTATATCACTCACATTTTTTATCCACTTTGTTCGTTTTAAATCTATGACAAGTCCGCATACTCCATAATTTGTGATTTTATGCAGTATAAACCCTGATTTTTGGCCATTTCCTTATTTCAACCAAAGGGTAATGAAGTCCGTTTACTTCCAAATTCGCGATCATGGGCTATAATCCATAATTTTTATTAATTTTTGTTGTTTTGACCCTAAGAAAATTAAGTAATCATACTTCAAAATTCGTGATCTTCATAAGCTATGACCCACCATCTTTGTTCATTTTGTCCATTCGGACTTAATGGCAATCTAGTTGCTCACATAAAATTTCACAATTTTCATTTGTTAACCCACTAGTTTTGAGAAAAACCCCGTAACTCGTCTTGCGTAAATAACATGTATGACTAATGATCTCTAAGTTGTAAGTGCTCCATGTGTGACAACTTTTGCACAATTTTACCCGTCTACTAAAATAACTTCTATATTACCTTTTATTGGTAAGGAAATGTAAAAAATTAAATAAATAATAGTTCTTGTTAGTGAGAATTTATAATAGTTAGGAGGTTTATATAATTCTGAAAGTTCAACAAGGTTTTGTGTGAAACGCCACAAAGTTTAGGGTGGTTTTGTAAAATTTAGACTTTTATAACAAAAGTTGAAGCTTACAAAATCGATGCTATGAAACCTGCAGTTGCCATAGCGACGCTACCCTCTATAGATTTGTCAATGTTGTAGGGAAGCATATTTTTCCCTAGTCTCCTTCCTACTATATCAGCAAGACCTGGCAGCAAATAAATGTCAGGGATGTTATCTGCTCAGAAGTTACTGTAACTCAAATTAATAATAATATTTCCGGAAAATGGTATTCAATAATAAAAAGATGGGTACCATCTCCAGCACATAAATTACAGATTGCAGCAATTCCTATGGGGGATGTTCGCCAAAAAACTGATGTTGCCAAAGTTATAGTGCAAGCGTAGTACAATGGTCCCTTCAAAAGTTCCCTGGGGTATCCATACATAAGTCAATACATCCGAGTAAACTGATAGTGTTAGTGAAAATAAAGTACATACAAATGACAAAATGACTATGAGGCTAGATGCAAAAGCTTTAAAGTTGATACCTATAGTCACCATATCTACTTATTGACTTGACCATAGCTTCATTTCTCAATATTCCGAGTCCCATCAAGAGCATCCTAATTATATTTACACCAGGAGCTACTGCTGCAAGAAATGGTGCCTGACTTCCTGCACTGCAATCAGCAGGGAGAGATAAATTTAGACATTCAATAAAATGAATACATGAAAAGTTTTTGAGGCATTTGGTTTACCTGAATAGAGGCCAAAATAGCATGAATGCCAATCCGATGCTGATATGTACAAGCTTCCTATTCAATTTCTAAAACAAGGAAATATCTTCTGTCAGATCGAGATAGATATATGTCAATCAAGAAGCAATTCCACCAAGATATACAAGCTTGAAATGGAAGTTTTAAGTCAATCAAAATGTTTAGCATCAATTTTTTATTATTTTTTATGCAAAGGAGAAAGGTTGAATGCTTCTATCTGCAATGGAACAAAGATATATGGCTAAACTGACACTGAATTTTTCATTCTTTGCAAGACAAATCACAGGCATTATTTTCAGATTATTTTCCCCCATAGTTAACTGCCTTGCTTGAAAAATGCAAACATTTTATCTGAAAAATCAAATTGGTTGTGATAAATTGACCCATAAAAACAAAGGCTACTGCATAGCATGTAATCTCAACACAAATGCAAGCTCATCAATTAGAACTACTTCGTAATCTTAACCTTTACGGGGGCTTCATGTTATCTTGCTTTAATGTGTACGACTCCATTAGTTATTTGTGCTTTCTCTACCATTTTCGCAATAACACAAAGTCAGACGCCCACATTTTAGTGGATACTCCCAGGATACATGTCAAACATCTCTTCGACATGCATCTAATTTCAATATAGGATACTTGGTGAACAATCTTAGGCAGAACAATTTTAGGCACATGCTATACAATTCTTTATTAACACTACATATTTGAGATATTTGTTTACTTTCATTTATACATCAAGACTATATTTTAGTGAGAAAGGCCATCAAAATAGTAACAAAAATATATTTAGATGATAGCTAACTATTATATAAATACACGAAAAGTTAAATTATATTCCTTCATAAAGTTATGAAAATGTACGGTAGGTAACATTTTAGCATATATATAATTAATATATGATTTATATTGCATAGACATGCTTTTGGGTGGAGTAGGATACATATGTATGTGTGTACATATGAATAATCTTTATAATCCTTGTATTGAATGTTATGTCATTGCATTTATGTATCCCTGCTTTTTTAAGGGATTGTTTTGTCCTGTTTGTGTTTGTTGCAACTGTACTTATCATCCTTACTTCTTATCTTACAAACTTCTTGCACGTTATTTTTCTTATGGGAACTAGAGGAGGTAGCAGTTCATTAAATACTCTCTCTACAGGTAGATATACAATGTTACATTGATACACCAATTAAACACATGCAAACACACATACAAAAAACATATACAATTGAAATCTAGAAGAAATAAGATAAAAAAGGTAGCATTCATTTTAACCATTTAAATCTCAAATAATAAAACAATACATGACATCCAAATTCCATCCACTTCCGATATTAAATCTTGAATGACACAAATGATTACGCCTCTCTAACGAACAAAAATATTAATAAAAGTAACAACTGTAATATAATAACAATCTTCTTACTGAGAAATTCCAGCTCATACGAGTGTTTAACAAGCAAAGCTTAAAGACAAGTAGATTGGTGTTTACCTACTTTCAGGCCTATTCATTTATCTAGCAGTTAGACACTAATCAGCCGGACAATTAACTCTGTTGATGAAATTGAAAAACCTTTACCAATATTTTTTCCCCAACCAAACCTTGAGCTTTCCAACTGACCAACCTATTAATAATCCTACATTCCTACTTCAGTTCGATCTAGTTCCAGTCCAGTAACCAAATACTGCAACAAAATGAAGAATAGAAGAACTGAAAGAAATGAACAAATTTATCTAGCACGAACTGATGTGAAAGAGAGAAAGATTCATTTTTTTAATATGGTGAAGAGAAGAAAATAATGAAATATATCACCATAGAACTGTGTATGTATCAGTTGGATTTTTCTACTTACTCTCGACTCTGGTTTACACAGAAGTAGTATGACCACTACCAACTAGCATATCTAATATGGCTTTCAAGAAACAAGCTGCTACCTAATAACTAGTTGGACCATTTTCAATCTGTCAGGACGTAAGTAGTAATAACTAAGCAAATAAGGACATGTTTGGCTAATACTTATTTTGAGAAACTTTATAAGTCACTTATTATTTATTTTTACTTATTTTTTTAGAGGGAAAAGTAATCTTTTAACATGAATAAGTAAATCTACTTGTAAGTGCCAAAAATAAGTTGGAAGATCCCAACTTATTTTTTTTCCCCTACTTATAAGTTAAAAATAAGTAAATAAGCAAGCATTACCAAACATGATATTGGATCCTTAAGTAAACTAAAACCTTACTTATAAGTTAATATAAGTAGGTTGCCGAACATGCTCTAAATATATTACATAAAATGCAGAGCCCATCAAGCAGAAAATTCTCTCCCCAAACCCAACTCACGATGCAATGTGGTGAAGCTATATTTTATACCTCCTTATTTCTGATTTTAATCAAATCAATCCATTTCAAAAATGTTCTTTATACTGTTAAAACTTTTTAGTACAACTAACCATTTACCTATGGCAGATTTCCCTTGTGTTAAGCTTTTGTCATTTGTTAGACATAGTTGGATTTGTCTTGATTCAAGACTGAATTAATTATCAACCATAGAAAAACTCCTTTCTTTTCTAACCCTTTCGAATCAGACGTTCCTTATCTTTGAAACTTCTCATGTATTCAGTATTCACATCTCTATGTCTGAGATCTGAAATGTCCTACAGGTCTTTGGTTCAAATATCGACATTGATAATGTAGATATGTCCATTATCCCAATTTCTTCCATCTTTTGATACACATTGTTAGAAACAACCTATGTGCTGTTAAAGTTTTATCCATCTAGTTCCCACACATCTTTACAACAAGTAGGCTTTACACTTCTTCCTATAATGTGAAACTCACCCCTAAAAACTAGCTGTTAGAGCAAGATAACTCAAATCTCTAATGAACCCAAATTGATTCTCCATTTAAGATGGGACTAAATGAATCCTAAAGTACCATGCTTTCAAAATCCTGGCACCCATGCGGGCATGCTTTGCACTAGTCTAATTCATGTCAAACAAAGCAGACCCAGCATCACCCTTTAGTTTTGCATTAGACTAGTCGTGAGTGAACATCACAATGCCAACGTCACCATCCCTGCAGCTCCTTTGCAACCGGGAAAATGTTAACTAGAACACGAGAGTTAACGTAGTTGAACTACTATTGTGCTACAAGACACAAAATTGCGCGGGCTATAAAAAATCATAACTTTTCAGTGCAATTTTCACGAAAATTAACTCTACATTTTTGTATCTTGTAATACCAGAATAGTATAACTTTTGCAGTCTAGTTATCGCTAGTCTTGCAACTGAAAGATGAGATTGGCTCAATACCCTTTGCAATTAGGAGATCTCATCCCTAAAAGCTATATGTAATCTCTAAAAAAATCACATTCAAGAAGGACAACTGCTATTATACGAACCTAACAAGCCTCATCACAGTCTCATGCTCCATTACTTCAAACAATTCAACTTCAATGCAACTAGGTTAGAACCTAACAAACTCCAACACAAACAAATTAACAAAAAATCCTAAAAATCAGTTCTTTGCACCAAAAATATCAAGCAAAATTCTCCCAATTACAAAATCAAGTAGCTAACCTGCTCAAAAACTCGTCTTTTGGCCAATTCCTCCCAAAATCTCAGCAGCCCTAACGCCACTCCAGCTGTAACGACGGCGGCGCATGCATCACGAACCAGTGGGCTCTCCGGTAACATCAACGCCATGACGGACGCCCGACGGCGGCGAGATCTAACGGAGGAGTGACGGAGCTGGAGGCTGAGGGGATGACCGTAGAATCTAACCCTAACGGCAGATTTAACGGGGCTAGCGGAAAGAGGCAAGATAAGGAGAGGAGAGTGGGAGAAGACTTCAGAAGACATGTGATGATTAATAAAGAACTGGATTTTGAGATGGAAAAAGAGGATGAACCCCCCACGCACCCAAACGAGCAAAAAAAAACACAACACACCCCTCCCCCTTTTTTTTACTTTTTGGTCCTGTTTGCTTCGTTTCCCCATAATCCAAAACTCACTTTTCTTTACTTTTTCACTTTGCCCCATTTTTTTTAACTCACTTTCTTTCACTTTCTCCACTTTCCCCTAAGGGGCTGTTTGTTTGCCTAAAAAAAGAAGAAAATTAAGGAATAAGAAACCTATTTCCTTAAATAATTGTTTTATGGTTGTTTGGTTGGCTAAAAAAAGAAGGAAATCAAATAATAGAAGATGAGATGAGATGAGTTGTCACAATATTATTGGATGATGTGAGTGATTTTTTAAGAAAAGTTGTTGGATGGTTGTTTGATTGGCTAAAAAAGAAGGAAATCAAAGAATAAGAAACATATTTCTTATAATAGGTCCTATTCTTGTGTTTGGTTCAATCTTAAAAATAGGAGATGAGATGAGATGAGATGAGATGAGTTGTCATTATATTATTGGATTGGAGGAGATGAAAAGGAGATAAGATGAGATGAGTTGTCACAATATTATTGGATGATGTGAGTTATTTTTAAAGATGAGATGAGATGGAGATGAGATGAGTTGGATGATGTGACTCATAAAAGTTGTTTGGTTTATTTTATTGGATGATATGAGATGAGTTGTTGGATGAAAATAATATTTTATTAGATGATGTTGATGAGTTGTATGATGAAAATAATATTTTATTGGATGTTGTGGGTTAGTTTTAGGGATGGAAATGGTGGAAATTGTACTTTTTTGATTTCCATGACTCAATTTCCTTTTTTTTGGTTTTTAGGAAACCAACCAAACAGCCCCTAATAATATTGTGACAACTCATCTCATCACATCTCATTTCTTACTTTTAAAAATAAACTAAACACAAGAAATGAGTCACATCAATCAACTCATCTAACTCATCTCACCCAACTTTTCTTTATTTTCTATTATTTTTAAAAATTACTCACATCATCCAATAATATGATGACAACTCATCACATCATACTCCCTTTAAAAGCATGAGTTCGGAAAAATCTTTCTATGGTCAGTATTACCCTTAGTTTTTTGAATATTATATTGTTATCCTAATCTATTCTAATTTTAATCATATCTTATCTAATTCCACGTGAACTATCTATAGGTCAACAATTTAAAAAAAAATATTTTGAATATTTCACTTAAATCTTAATCTATCCAAATACTAATTATATCCTATATTAACTCCATATGAACCACCTATAACTCAAAAATATAGAAAAAATAAGATTAAGAAAATATACATAGATAACATATTATAATACATGAAGTATTATAAAAAAAACCCAAAAGTTTTAAAATTTGTATATAATAGCTTTAAAAGTTTAAAATTATACAAAACACCTTAACTTTTTAAAACTTAAAAACAAACATGATATCTAAAAATTTAAAACTTATAATTAATACCCTCAACATTTTAAAAATTATAGAAACAACCTCAAAAGTTTAAAGGCTAAATTAAATTTATATACCCTATGTGTTTCGCTCTTAAAGCAGTTATATACCCTAAGTTACAAAATATAGCAAAAAAAATTTATATACCCTATGTGTTTCGCTCTTAAAGCAGTTATATACCCTAAGTTACAAAATATAGCAAAAATATACCCTAAGTTGGCAAAAATTTGCAAGTTGGTACCTTCTGTTAACCAGCTGTGAGAATATTCTTTGGAATATTCCCACGTGCTGGACCTATGACCAACTTGAATACTTCTTACTCTCATTTATTGTATTATTTACTGTATTACCTACCCCACCCCCACCCCCCGGCGCAAAGTAGATTATTTTTATCATCATCTTCTTTTTTTTCATGGCCTCCAACTTCTTCTTCCTCATTAATATGGGTAACAGTAGAAAATACGAGCTTTCACTATGTTGGGGGGGTTAAATCTTAAGGAGGGGCATTATTGTCCTTTCATGTATTTTTTAATACCGTTAGCTAAATTTAAACAGTTACCAACTCAGGGTATTTTTTTGCTATGTTTTGTAACTTAGGGTATATAACTACTATAAGAGCAAAACAATAGGGTATTATAAGTGCCATAGCCTTGTTTAAATTACAAAAAACATTCTAAAATGCAGAGATTTTAAAACTTAGAAACAACATAGATGGATTCTAGGGATTACCATTGGGCACATAGAAATTTAAAATTAGTAAAAAAAATAACCTTAAAGGTACAAAAATTACAAAAACTCTCTCAAAAGTAAAAAATTATTAAAAAATTCTGAAATTTTAGAACTTATAACCGGTACATATAAAATTTAGAAAGTATCAGTAGATTGCTACAAATTTAAAAATTTTAAAAAACAACCCAAAATTTAAGTAATTATAAAAATACCTTCAAATTTTTAGAGTTACGAGAAATATTCTAACATTTAAAAACTTATCACCAATACATGAAACACATGAAAATTATAAGCGCCCAACTTAAAATTTAAAATTTTCATAAAATACTATCAAATTTTAAAAATTACAAAACACACACTCAAAAGTTTAAATCACAAAAGGCTGAAATTTGGTAAAGAAAAGAGGAAATGTTTGATATTATTACATTAAGATATAATAGGTTAGCATTAATTGATTATAATGTATAAACATTTATCTCTAATGTTGATAATATTTATTTATAAAGTAAAAAAATACAAGGAGTTATGTATGGAAAAACTATCAGAAAGTTCAGAGATATCCTTTAAAAGAACTAAGTTATTTTCATTTCAAATGGAGAAGTAAAGGAAATAAACTCAAAATTCAGAATAATTCATGAATCACTTGAATTGACATTAATAAAAAGCATATCGAGCAAAAAAGCACTAACCGAGTTCTTCTTAAAGAACATATTGAACAATTATGTCCTAATTAAAAAAACATTATTCATGAAAAGTACAAGAAAAATTAGTAAGTACTTATAAATTTTCATAATTTATTCTAAAAATACTGAAAGAATCATAAACTTAATATAAAATTTTATATAAATAATCTTGTAATAGAAACTAAAGTGAAGTCAATGATCAACTACATTGTAAGCTATAATAAACTAGATAAGATGAGAAAATTCACTATAATGGACAAAAAATATGCACATGATACTTAGTTACCATAGTGTAAATAAAAAAAAAATTAAAATTGGTATTTTTCTTTTCTCTATATAGTGGCACGACTCTGCAAGTATCCTTATTTGGGGATATGACTACCAGATCAATTTTTAAGAACACGATCAAAGATAAGCATGTAATAGTACTGTCAGATTTCAAGATATTTAAATATGAAGGTTACATATTTTACAACTAAAATTCTTATTAAAGGCCACTAAATATAAAATTCATCTTATACTTGTCTCAAATTTGTATGGAAGATATACATGTCATCATAAATTGTGTTAATAATATATCAACTTATTGAAAAAATAAGAGATAGATAAGCAAACCAAGCAGACATCCATATAACACGATAAAGAAAAAATATTACACTTTAAAGCTAAAATGCAGGGCTCATTCAGAACAAGCTGCTAAAACAAAAGCATCTCCATCAAGGCTCTTTATAAATACAACACAATTTTAAATTATTTGATATTTTAAAAATAGCTTAATTTTTTGAGTAAAATCATGTATCTTTAGAAGTGATTTTCATGAACTCTTTTAATTTTTTATATGGTTATGTGGATACTTTTATCATATAAAAGTGTAATAGAGTTAGCATTAATCTTTATTTTATGATTTTTTTTCTAAAGTCTATCAGTGATTAGCAACAAAATTTATATTCTTAGCATTAATCTTTATTTTATGATTTTTTTTCTAAAGTCTATCAGTGATTAGCAACAAAATTTATATTCTTTTTAGTTGTATTCTAGCCCACTTTTAATTAATCATCTTATCTTATTGACTTTAATTATTCATCCTTCTTTTATAACATTATCTTTTCAAGTGTTTTTTTACTTTTACAACATTATACCTTCTTAAGTCAAGCTTGGTTTCATGCCGATCTAAATAACGTGAAAATTCAAATTAGCTTTAGATTATAGTTATTTTTTGTCAATTCAATTATTACATAAAAATTTTAAATTTGGTGTAGCCCATTCAAACAAACATTAAAAAAATAATCACAATAGTAAAGTTTGAAAACATAAGTGAGAAAAACAATCAAAGTGGAACTGAAAAATAAATTTTCGTAAAGAAATAAGTCAAAAATACTTATTCATAATATTTAATCACGTGCATTGCACGTGCATAAATCCTAGTCTTATTAAAATTTCCTTCCATCCCTTTCCTCCAAAAAACAAGGAAATTGATTTTCCTAAGTATGGGTCACATCATCCAATAATATAATGACAGCTTATTTTCTCTCATTTATTTTTTAGTTTTAAGAATGAACCAAACACAAGAAAGAACAAAAAAATAAAGAAAGTGGAGGAAAACATCAAAAATTACTCATCTCATCCAATAATATGGTGACAACTCATTTTCTCCCTCACTTTCTTTCCGAATTTTGCCGAACCAAACATCAAAAAGTAGAGAAAAACATCAAAATTCATTTTTCCCCTCACTTTCTGCAATTTTTTGCGAAACAAACATTCCCTTTAAAAAAAACACCCCCTCCTTTTTTTCCTCTTTTTTTTTTGAAAGAGCTGCAAGTATGGTTATTAAACAAATGGTTGCATTCATAAATCATCCAATCTATGAATTTCTTAATTTCTTGCCCAGGGGTTTGATACTCATGGTCTGATTGCCTGAAG